ATCACTTACCTAAGACTCCCAGGATGCTTACTTACTTTCAGGAAGATTGTTAAGAAAATACATTTTCTTCCTAAGAGTACCTGTGTAACATTGCACATCTAGTAGCATCCTTTCCCTGTCTGTCTTGAAGTATTACGTAACTGCTCATACCATTTTGTTAATACTTCTTTTGATTCTTACCCCCATTTCACCTTATGTTATATATATGTTTAATCTAAATGATATGAAATGACCAACATGCAGTTATTTTGATCTGCAAATCTGGCAACGTCATACGGTTCGACTCTATTTTTATTTTTATTCATGTCTGATCTGCTGGGAGTACCTTGTGTCCCATCCTCCAGGGTAATTATTTGATTCATGTCTGCACCTCCCAGCATACATTGCCTATAATAGGCATTCAGAAAGTATCTGATAAATTTCACTTTCATGTATTATGTCTGAATTCGGTAGAAAGAAAATTACTCAAGCTGCTGATTGTTCCTTTATAGCAATGGGTCCTCACCACTGGGAGGATCACAGACCCTTTGTGGATTTCATAAAAGCTATAGATCAGTTCTTCTCAAATGTTAATGCCTGTAGGAATCACCAAAAGATTCCTTGAAAATGCATTTTCTGATCTAGTAAATGTGAGGTGGGGCCTGACATTATACATTTCTAACAAGCCCCCATGTGATGCTGAGGCTGCTAGTACACACCCCCACTTTGAAGAGGAAGGTCACAGACCACCTTCCTTGAGAAACAGACCTAATCACATATGCACATAGGTAAATTCTATTTCTGAGCCTGCTAGGGATCCCTGGGTTCCCAGGAGAATGACTGAATTTTTCATTTCATAATCATCTGTCCTAGTGGGGAGGGATTTAGCTCAGTGGTAGAGTGCATGCTTAGCATGCAGGAGGTCCTGAGTTCAATCCCCAGTATCTCTATTAAATAAAAAAAGATGAAAAAAAAAAAGAAAATCATCTGTCCTAGAATTATTCTAATTATAATATTCAATCGAAGAGATAGATAAATGATATTTATGTAAGAAAAGCATACACTACTTTCAGAAATATAATATGGATGTCTCTGTGTATTACTCTTCTGCATACACACATACTCACCACTCACACACACATGCATTCAGACTCAAGGATTCTGAAATGGCAAGTTAACTAGAATTAGACCTAATTAACCCCACCCACAGATAAACATATTTAAATAATTTCCTTTATAAGTTGAACATTTAGACATAACGTATTTTTCCAAACGTTTCAAATTCCACTTTAAGTTTATTTAGCTTCTCCCTGCCTACTAACTTTTGTTTCCATTCAAAGAATTTTCTCCTAAAAATTACTATAAATCAGTATATTGTTCCTTTTAAAAAAATTAAAACCCCAGTGTACAAGACATGTTTGTGATTTACTAGTAATCTATGCACAGACAATTGAACTTTTTTATTACTAGTTTATTGACTATCACTATGAATAGTGCAAATGTGTAGTGGAGAATGGGGAGATTGTCTGTAACCTTAGAACTGAACAGAATTAACAGGTCTCAGTGGAATGTGATCTAATGATCTGAGCCTCCTTCACTGCTGTCCCCATCCACCCGTCTTTTAAAAGAATTCTTCTACTTCCAGTGGATTTTTTAAAATCTCGTTTTGGCTGCTTCTTCAAATGAGCAATACAAATTATAAACTATAATTGTAGTCGATAGAACACTTGTTATCCATCTGAAATACTGGCAGAAGTTCTACTGAGTAGCATCAAGGCAGAAAAAGATATTGGTCTGAGAACATGGGATTCAATTTAATCAAGAGGAGTGCCCAAGACAGCCTTACATCCCCCTCAGCCTGATGAAACGTTATACAGCCTTCTTCCTGACTCTAGCCCTGGACCTCTCTTTTCTCAGAACATTTACTCTAGAAAACTTATCATTATAAATTATTGCTCTGCCCTATTGAGATGTAAATTATCTTAAAAGCCTTTTGATACTTTTACAACCCAAAAATGTCTTTCTCAAGGACCTACCTAGGAACCATCTCCTTGAAATGTAATCATCAAAGAAGTTAATTCCTCTGTCTCTGGAAGGATAGGAGCCTAACTTCTGTGGGCACTTTGCTCCAATTTGCAAAACTACCTCCAATTCTGAAGATATAAGAAAGTTTATTTTTTTCTAACTTGAAAAGATACATACACCCCAGTATTCATAGCAGCACTATTTACAATAGCCAGGAAATGGAAACAACCTAAATATCCATCAACAGATGGCTGGATAAAGACATTATACACACACACACACACACAAACACACACACACAGGAATACTACTCAGCCATAAAAAAGAATAAAATAATGCCATTTGCAGCAACATGGATGGACCTGGAGATTGTTATACTAAGTGAAGTAAGCCAGAAAGTGAAAGAAAAATACCATATGATATCTCTTACATGTGGAATCTAAAAAAAAAGACACAAATTAACTTATTTATAAAACAAGAAGAGATTCACAGACATAGATAACAAATTTATGGTTACTGGGGGGAAAAGGGTTGGGAAGGGATAAATTGGGAGTTCGAAATTTGTAGATACTAACTATATACATAAAATAGATACACAATAAGTTTCTTCTGTATAGCACAGAAAATTATATTCAGTGTCTTGTAGTAACTTGTAGTATATGCATACATATACATACATAAATTTGTATGTATATGTATGCTCTACACCAGAAATTGATTCAACATTGTAAACTGACTATATACACTTCAACTAAAAAATAAATAATAACTCATTCTGAAATTTTAAAAAAAAAGAAAAAAAGTTTACTTTTCCTTAGCAAACACAGAGGACTTCAATCCCCCTATACCAGCTCTTAAAAACCCTATTGCCTTTTGTTTCAGTGGAGTTGTGGTCCAACTCAGTTCTGGCCTCTCTCTCGTATTTGAATAAGGTCTTCTGTGCCCACTAAACTTTGCCCAGTGAAATTTTTGCCTTGACAGAAAAGAACAAAAATATGTGATTCAACTGGCCTACTTTCCACTAAGTCAAACTTTCTCCTAGGTACCCTGTGTTCCCAAACAACATTTGAATTTTTTTCAAGCAGTTCATCAATATAAGCCCAGAAGATATTCCAATTATTTTAAAGATCCCCACTCCTTCTAACAGGAGTGATTGATTGAAGAAGAAAGATCAGAGGCAGTGGTTTTGTATTTTCTCTTTTAATAATGCCTTTTTCTCTGTCTACTGTTAGTGTCCTTGGCTGTCAGATATCTGCCTGGTCCAGTGTGCAAGAGGGAATAGACCAAACAGTACCAATTGCATCATCTTTGAAATCAACAAATTTTTGATTGGTCTGGAGCTGGTACAGGAGCGGCAGCTCCACCTGGATACAAACATCTTAAAAGTGGAGGATGACACAAACTGTTCCTTGTCTTCAATTGAAGAAGACTTTCTCACTGCATCTGAGCACTTGGAGGAGGAAAGCGAGGTGGAGGAGTATAGGAACGGTGAGAACATTCCAGTAAAACAAATGTGCATCCTGAAATTAGTCACCCTGTAATAATGTCTGGGTGGAATTCCAGAAAAGTTTCAGGCCACGTCAGTTTGGCTGACACATCACAATCTTCGCTTACTGAGTTTAAAGAGGGAGAGAGGATAAGAAAACACTCGTGAAGATGCTGACTGATGCACTTCAACAGATTTAATGGTTAGACGGCCCCACTCTCCCTAAAGATGCCTTAGGGATACTGAAGGAAATCTATGTGTTTGAAAACAAAATCCTCTGCTTGCCAAGAGACGGAGACTATCACTTGGAAGAAAGTTAACTTCCCTAGGTTCCACTAAGGACATCTATTAGTTGAAGCTGAGTTAAACTGGCCTGAATCCTAGCACTGCCTCTATAAAGGTTGCAACGTGGGGCCCGTTATCTCGTCTTTCTGAGCCCCAGTTTCCTTATCCACAATTTGCGAGTATAATAGTGCCCTTAAAACTATAATAAATGTTATAGTTAACTAGATATATATATATACACATATGTATATTTGTTATATTTGACCATATATATATTTTATATTTAACTATTATTATTGTGAAGATGGAAGAAAATAACCCAGCAAAGTGCTTACCGTCCATTTATTTATTCTTTCTTTTGATTCATTAATAAAGCTCAGTGAACAATGGGTTTCTTGTCCCCACAGAAGGGATACCCCAGATGCTGTTGTCACAGTCCTTGGGGCAAGTCCTATGCCAACTTCAGAGTAAATCTTTCAACAAGGCCCGCTGTTTGGGTTGCCTAAACATCGTCCTTCCTTCCTCTGTACCCACTGGGAAGCTACAAGACACAATTGTCTGGGTTACTTTCTTTCTGAAGCAGGGTGACCAGCCCTCAGCTCCCAAAGGCTTTCCCCAACTCTGGTGTTCCCATTGGTATCCCACATTGAAAGCCATTTTGTTGAGCTGGCGGTCCACAATTAAACTCCAAATCTTTTTCAGATTCATTTTCTTTGAGGAAACACTCAAAACGTTATTTTCCAAAAAAAGAAAACAGTACGCGATGCTTTCAGGCATTTTTAGAAAGTGAATGTTATTTTCTACTCCTGGGAACTTGCCATCTAAAAAGTAATAGTGGCCCTCATTTTCTCTTCACTAGGTTATGAAAATATAAATGTCTCAGCCAACGTTTTAGAAAATAAAAAGGAAGCCACTCAGGAGGGATGGAATTACAACAAGAAAATGTTACTTTCTACTTTGGAAGACAAATGCATTAGTAAATGCCATACACCACTGATTAAAGCAGAAGGATCTCTGGGGAAGGTAGCAGAAGATGTAACTCTGCAGAGTCTAGGTCCCTCAGCCAAGCCATTAGCATGGAAAGGGGAAGCTGTCGCAAATGCAAGGCCAACCACAAATTATTATTATTCGGAAAATTTTAAAGGTCAAGAGGAAAAATCACGGGCACTATATATTCCAGGCAATGCTTACTTCTCAAGGATGGTTCAGAAAGATGGACCTTCTTCGTGTGGTACTTTCTCTGAATGCGACAGCGACTTCGATCCAGGAGACCACGAGGATGGCACAAACTCTCTTCTTCCCAGACGAGATGAGGAAGCCACAACTGGCGAGTATGCTACAAATTTAGCAGAATCTGTTCTGCAAGATGCGTTTATTCGATTATCTCAGTCTCAGCCTGCCCTACCCCAGGAATCTGCAGTCAGTGCTTCCATAGGAAGTGCTCTGTGCCCCCGTGGCTGTTCCACGAAAGATACTATGGTCCCTCAGTCATGGAATGAGCTCCCCAAAATCGTCGTTGTTCAGAGTCCAGATGGTGGTGATGCTGGCCCTGAGCCAAGTATCTCCTCGTGGCCCGAGACAGATGTCTCATTTGAAACTTCAGGTGTCCTCTTTGGAGAGAAATCCAGCAGACACCCCCAGAGTGCTCTAGAAGTGGCATTAGCCTGTGCGGCCACTGTGATTGGAACCATTTCCAGTCCACAGGCCACAGAAAGACTGAAAATGGAGCAAGAATCCCTGGCTTCAAACTTCCCTCTGGGAGGCAATGAACCAGTCCAAACTCAAACATCCCAGGTACTCAAGGAACCCTCCATCAGTGAATACTCATTTCTGTCTGCTCTATGTGGCATGACTCAGGTGGCGGGTGCCATTGCTGTCTGTGGCCTGGGAGAACCTGGAGAGGTGAAGTGTCCTGTGGCTTCAGGTGGCCTCCTGTCTGCAGCTGAATCTTCTACAGCAATCCCCCCACTCTGTGGTTTAGTGGCAGGGAAAAGCGTGGAGCTGGGGAGTGAAGCCATTGCAGAGGCACTGCTCAAGGAGGCCACTCTGATCTTAACAAGGCCACGTACCTACAGCAGCATGGGCGACCTCATGGAATCAATGAACAGGAGAATCACAGAAAATGTTTCCAAGCCTCAGACCTTGTGCTCAGAAAATGCCCTTGGGAATGAACTAGCACAGACCCTGTCCAATGTTATCCTGAAACATTCCATTGATGAAATTCACCAGAAAAATAAAATAATCGACCCCAAGGATGGCAGGCACGCATCTGAAACCCTGGACGCTTTAATGGAAAGTACGAATCAACTGCTCTTCAATGTGATATGCTTCACATTCAAGAAGATGAGCCACATTGTAAGGTTTGGTGAATGTCCCACCGTTCTTTCTAAGGAGACCATCAAATGGAGGGAAACAGAATTAGACTTCCAGCCAACTGATCAGGTCGCTAGTCAAGTATGGACAAAAGCCGCTGAGTGCCCCAGCGGCCATCGGCTTAGCAATCCTCATGGCACGTGTCTTGTTATCAATGATCTTGTAGACGATGTGCCCCCGAAGCAAGACAGCAAGGGCCCAGAGAAGCCAGGCCTCTTCCAGAACCCCACACTGCAATCTGAATTGACCTGTAGTCCCAGAGTGTCTGCTGAAACATCCCCCAAAGAAATACATCTGAAAGGAACAGTGGATGAGGATATAAAAAACCCTCATCAACCATCCAGTCGCAACGAGAATGAGTGCAGAGTCCCTTTGGAGGGAGAAATGACACCAACAGTTGGCAAGGGCAGCAGCCGTTCCCAGGATGCCGAGGACAGTGTCACTCCAAATGCTGGAGAAAAATACAATTGTGCCTCACCTCTAAACAATGACGTTCAAGTTAACCCGTCTTTGTTAGGGAAGGATTTGCTGCTTCCTGCTCAGTCCACGCTGCAGGCAAAACACGCAGACATACACTGCATCGCAGACTTTGCAGAAGAACTAGCAGAGACGATCGTCTCCATGGCAACGGAAATCGCGGCGATTTGCCTTGACAACTCCAATGGAAAACAACCCTGGTTCTGCGCGTGGAAAAGAGGGAATGAGTTTCTTGTTACCCCGAACCTATCCTGCCGATCCTTGAAGAGGAAGAAGGAGACCCAGGCCGGTGGGGGCACCGTGAGGAAACACAAGCCCCCGCGGCTCAGCGAGATCAAGAGGAAAACAGATGAGCACCCGGAGCTTAAGGAGAAGCTGATGAACAGGGTTGTGGACGAGTCAGTGAACCTTGAAGACATCCCAGATTCTGTCAGTACTTTTGCAAACGAAGTGGCAGCCAAGATCATGAGCCTCACAGAGGTCTCCGTGGTGGACGGCGGCTGGCAAGCCCAGAACTGCTCCCGGAGTCGGTTACTCAGTGGAGACAGGTGGAGCCGGCTGAAGGCCTCCAGCTGCGAAAGCATTCCGGAGGAGGACTCCGCCGCCAGGGCGTGTGTGCGCGGCCTGGGCTTAACGGGCGCCCCGAGTCAGCCGGGCAGCAGGGCCAGCTCGGTCTCCAAGCAGTCCAGCTGTGAGAGCATCACCGATGAGTTTTCCAGGTTCATGGTGAGCCAGATGGAAAATGAAGGACGAGGGTTCGAGTTACTGCTGGATTACTACGCAGGCAAGAACGCCAGCAGCATTCTGACCTCAGCGGTGCAACAAGCCTGCCGCAAAAATGACCACCTCAGTGTGCGGTCAAGCTGTGCCTCTAAGCAGTCCAGCACGGAGAGCATCACCGAGGAGTTCTACAGGTACATGCTGCGGGACATCGAACGAGAGAGCAGAGAGGGCGCTTCCTCCAGACGAAGCAGCCAGGACTGGGCCACGGGCTTGCTGTCGCCTTCTCTGCGATCCCCGCTGTGTTACAGACAGTCGTCCATGCCCGATGGCAGATCCCTGGGCGCCAGGCTGACGGTGAACGTGCCCGTCAAAGCCAACTCCTTAGATGGCTTTGCTCAAAGGGGCCAGCACGATTTCCTCAGCGTCCAGCGGACCAGTAGCGCTTCCTCAACAGGTCTCTACAAATCTGACTCCTGCTTGTATCGGAGAGGTGGGGCGGACCAGATCACAAACATGCTAATTCACGAGACGTGGGCAAACTCAATCGAAGCCCTCATGCGGAAGAACAGAATTATAGCGGACGACGTCCTGGCAGCGGAGGCCGAACCGGCTTCTGGAGTCTCTCCCTCGCAAGCGGAGAAGTGTGCGAACAAATCAGCTTCGAGCAGAGTGCAAAGTGGGCCAGCCCTTCGTGTTCAGGAGTCCGTTGATTACCCGAGGAAAAATTCTATTTCTGAAAGCAAACATACCCCAGTGTTGTCTCCAAGCAAAGCTGCTCCTCTTACAAGCCAAAACAGTTTAGATTCTAAAAAGGAAACTTCCTCGTGCCGTGATGCTCTCTCTCTAGGCCACACCAGGAGGTCACTTTGCTCAAGGGAAGTGCCTTTAATTCAGATTGAAACAGATCAGAGAGAAGATTGTGTTGGAGAATCCCAACAGGTCCTTTTTGAAAGCAGCCCCCTAGAGGAAGCAGCAGAGAGTGCGAAGGAGGAAAAACTCCCAGATGTGGTGAGGGGCGGAGACACTGCTGTCAGTTCCTGCCAAATCCCTAGGTGAGTGAACGATCTTTTAGGTGGGACAAGGGCCCTGGGACTGGAATTTGCATCTTAGTATTTATTCTAAATCTTAGTGACCTGTTGATGCAAAACCGCATTCCTGAGACAGTAAATGACCTCCCAGGGTTAACATGCACTTACAATGGAAAGATGGAAGTAGTTTTTTTTTTATTTTTTAAATTTCTAAAACATGTTAAATTTATGTATATAACAGAAGAAAAGAAGTGTAGTTCTCCCTATTAAAATCAACCCCCCATAGTATGCTACCTTTTGAAACTAACTCATGGCGATTTTCAAGCAAAAAAACAAACAAAAAACAATCAACTTGTCCATTTGAAAAAAGACAATTTAAATAAATTTTAATATTGGACTCTGACACTAAATATTTTGATATCCTTTCTCTCTTGGGTCTCTCCTTTCAAGTTTTTCTTTCTTGTCTTGTTCTAAAGAGCTTTGCAAGAATACTATGTCCCACAAGAACTGGCCCTTTAGGTGCACGGTATAAACACAAAAGCAGAAGTGCAAAACGACCCTGGAATGTTGTTATTTCAATAGTTCTTTTCCAGAAAATTGTGATGTAGATGTAAGCGCGTTTTGAATTTGAGGCAAGATAATTTATATCTCCAGGCTGCTTAAAGAAGTGTCAGTTCCTTTTACAACTCCCGTCTTCTGTAGCATATTCACAGAATTCTTGAATATGAGACCATTGTATCATTTAAGAAACTTTTGGTCTATAGTTACAGTTTGAAAAACACAGAAGAAAATGAAGACAAAAATTAATCTACTGGCCTTGGAAAACATAAATTGAGAAATAGCCTGTGTAGTCTTTTTAGAGACATACACCAACTGAACAAAAAGCCTGTGGTTTTTAAATGTTTAACCTCAATTAACAAGTTGAACACAGTTTACTAAATTTCACCAGCTCTCGAAAGCTTCCAATACCTCCCCATCCCCATCAGGGAAGCAAAAGGGTTCCATCTTCAGTTGCTCATGCCCCCCCCCACCACTATAAAGCATCATTACAAGGTATGGGTGGTGGATGGTCCAGGTACACTAGAGTATTTCCTTTCTAGCTACTTAGTGCTAAGAACGTAGCTTTCCAACTGGATTAAATCTTAGAAAAATGCAGGAGGAAGAAAGGATGAAAACATACAAGCAAAAGACCATGAACTTAAACCAAATGAAGCTCATTAAGACACATTCTTTTATATCAGTAATTCTCCAGCTATAGACAATACTTATGAAAGTCTTAAAGGAGTACCATACCTCACATTAGCATTCACCACCTCCAGGAAATTTGTAGCATTACCAATTTTTAAATGTGATTAAAAAGTTGAAGAAACAAGAGGGTCGTTTTTTTGACTCTGTAATATATTGTAATGATTAAATGAGTTAATAGAAATAACATACTTAGACAAATGCCCAAAATGGAAACAGACTCACAGGCATAGAAAACAAGCTTATGGTTACCAAAGGTGGAAGGGGAGAAGAGAGGGATAAATTAGGAGTTTAGGATTAACAGATACACACTACTGTATATAAAACAGATAAGCAACAAGTTTCTACTGTACAGCACAGGGAACTATATTGAATATCTTATAGTAACCTATAATGAAAAAGAATATGAAAATGAATATATGTGTATATACACATGTATGACTGAACTATTATGCTACACACCAGAAATTGACACAGCATTGTAAACTGACTATACTTCAATTTTTAAAAAGTCAAAAAAAAGTTGAAGAAATAAAATAACCAATATGCAATTCTTTAGAATTAACCTAAGATACACAAAAATAGAACCCTTGTTTTATGTCCCAAGTGTCTGACTTAGAGTTTCCTTGAATACGGAGATCATAAAGCAGTTGAGAATTTTAGTGAAAGCTAACCTAGCTACGGAGCATTCATGAACTAATAGTTCAAAAAGATTCATGGTTGGAGGCTCAAATCAAATCGTGGTTGTCATTGAAGTTAAATAACATTCATTATACATTTTTGAGTTAAATGTCACAAATATTATGCTTAAAATAGGTACAGCTTGGGAACTTCCCCAAAATTGGAAAATTTATATGAATAAAGCCTCTGATTTAGGTTTGTGTCCCCCAACAAACATTTAATGACTCAAATATATATTCTCTCATAATGTGAATTTCTGATTAGATTTTCCAACAATGAAAGAAAAAAGAATGCAGAATCATCAGCCTTGGAAATTCAAGAGCCGAATCTTTTTCCAAAACATAAAGACTAAGTACTGAATATATTTTTCTTTGTGGAGCAATACGAAGAATTGTTACGAAACATGAAACCCACTAAATAACCTTCTAACCATCAGCTTAAGCAAGTTCCCTAATCTCTACCCTTTTACTCACCTATACGGGGGATAATAGCAATAATTACATCATATGGAGATTCTTAAGGTTTAAATAAAGAAACGTATACAAAGCTCTTAACTCAGTGCCTAGCCCATGGCAAGCACTCAATAAATGTTTACTTTATGGTGGTTTTATTGGGGGTTAAGGTGTATGTTTGCCTTTATTCCAGGTGATCTTTTTCCCAAGAGAGACCTGTTATGAATAGTGTGGGAATTTTATTAAAATTGTAGAATTCCCAGGATTTGGAACGGGGTGGGAGGAATGAGTCATATTTAGATTTTATTTTCTAAGCTTAGAGTTGCTATCAGGGGATTTGATATGTCAAAATAGCTAAATATGGGGCTCAATCCCCTGTGAAAGCTTCCTCCTCACTTACATACAAGGGGGTGGGAGTGACACAGGCCCTCCTGATGGTCTGGAAGTGGGGAGATGTCATGTCCTGAGGATATTTCAGGCTATTCTCTGAGGGACATTTTCATAATTATTACTGAAAACTTCATAAAATCTCAACATACTGAAATAAAAATTACTTTCTTACATTTTTTATATGAAACTTCAAAATCTGTTATGGAAGTCAGGCCCAAATACCTATTGTATTTAGGCCACCACATTTGTCCAGATGCCAGAATTATCCCTCAGTTATAAAGAGCTTAAGTGATTTAGGATAGCCCAGGTCTTGACTTCTGGGAGAACATCGTCCTATTAATGGGCAGCAATGTGATCCCTGAGATTATTGAAAAGTGATTAACTTCTGAGATCACAAGATATAAAAACACAAGCTGAGAAGTCTGATCATTCACATGTTGCACTCACTGACCTAGTATAATTTTTAGAATTATATTTTGTTACGTATTTATTTTCATTTGCTTCAAGAAAAAAATTAGTCATCCAACAAATGTTTGCATGCTCCTCTGTGATCCACACTGTCCTTGAGTTGACAAACACAGAAGAAAATGGAAATTCGGTGCCTGTTTCTATGGCTCTTACACAGCAGCAGGAGAGACAGAGAACATGCATGGAAACGCCCTTTGGAAGAAGATTATTGCAGAGTGTGATGAGAGGGAAATGAAAAGAGTAATGTGGGTGGAAGTAACAGATTGGGAGAAGTGGCTAAGATAGGATGTTGGCATTTGAGACGAGACCTAGAGGAAGACAGAAAAGTGTGCCAATGACATGAAGAACTGAATTGAACAACTTGTTTCTCAAGCATTATGGTGTTCTAGCTAGACTGAAAAATTCTCCCACACGAATCACCTAGAAATCCTGGGTTGAATATAATAAACATCCTTTTAAATATAGTGCTGAGCTTAATATCAATAATCATAATAATAATGAAAATCTCAGAGGCCGAAATGAAGGATCTGGAAACAAATGCGGTAAATTAAAACAAATAAAGCTGATTATGCACCTGCTCTTGAGGCATCTGTCAGCCTCAATAACCTACAAGTTCATTTTCTAAAAACTAGAGGAAACCCAGAAATGAGACTGTGTGCCCGTGAATGGTGAAGACTGAAAACTGACACCAGCTTCCATATCCCAAAGAGTTACAACCTCAGCAGAAGTATGAACTTAGGAAAATGGTCCACCCACCAGAAAAGAGACATGATGAGAAAAATGTGTCTTTCAGGGTCAGAGCTCTGGGTCGAAGAAAAAGAAATTTGTACCCACAGCTTGCCTTGAGTAACGTTCGGGGTTCTAATTTGCACCATTTGTGTGGTAGGAAACCACAAGCTGGTAAATTACCTTGAAGAAATCTTAGGGATAACAATACTGTGAGACCTTGGCAAAATAAATCTCTTGATATTTAAGCCCAAGTCTCAAGGAATTTCAACAGATAAAACCCAGCAAATATAGACTTAGAACTTCAAATTTCAAGATACATAAGGAATCAAGGCACTGTAAGCAAGACTCACAAACATCAAATACCAGAGTTACCCCAACAAAGACTGCAGATGCTGGAATAATCAGATATAGAATAAAAAATATTTCAAATATTTGAAAAATTAAGATATATAAAATGGGAGTGAGAAAAAACTACAATCAAAATAGAATGAGGTAGATTTAAAAATTAGTTAATTATTGTAAGAGATAAGTATAGTCATTGAAATTAAAAATCGCTAGATCTAAACATAACTATTTTAAAATGTCATTTAAATCAAAACTTTAATGGCATAGCTGCAGAGACAGCTATAGCAAGTAACTGAAGCTGGACTTGCTCTCCCTCTGCAAATAACTAGGAAAATGGACAAAATAAATGAAACTTTTCAGACATTTTACAACAAGCATCATTTTGAGAAAAGGAAAACGAACATGGTGAGCCTTATAATTGCCCAAATTTCTGCGTGGATTCCCTTTTCAGAAATAGATACAAGAAGGATGAATCTGAGCAGAGCTCAGTGGGCACTCAGTTGAAGATTCAGAGATTGCAGGGCACTGTGCAGAATTAGAACTCCAGAAGTCTGCAGAGGGATTTCCTTGAGTCTGTCACTGAACAGTGAGCCATGCATGTATACGTGAAACCCCTTGAAGCTAGAAAGCTGTAAGATAAACGATTCCACAAGCTCACACAGGACTGGGAGAAGTTTAGTTCCAACCAGCCACAGTGAAGAAACCAGGTTAAAC